TCTACAACTGAATGTGCTGCACACAGACCGCCTCATGATTCAGTTGGCACGATATTCGGGATACCGCAGTATATTTTCATAAAGGAAACTACTCACAAGGTTGCTGAAAACTCTTCGACAGCCCACAACCGGTTTCGCCCTTCTTGGGGCTCATCAAATAGGCGCAGTCCCCGAGTTTCCGGTATTGAATTTTGTTGTATTGTGTCGACGAAGCAGACCGAGTCGAATGCCCAACTATCTTTCGCCTCCTTCATTTTTACAACACAGAACCTTTGTTGCGATCTCACGTGCTCGGGACCAGTTCATATCTGATCGAACAAGTAGTGAAGCACTACAAACTACAGCTCCGTGCTCACGCAATCAACATATTTGGTTCTGTGGATTTTCTGGGCAACCCGCTCGGATTCATCAACGATATGACTTCTGGGATTTCAGGTCTAGTCGAGCTGGATGTCGGAAGCCTGATTCGTCACGTGGCCCACGGGGTCGGTGATAGTGCGGCCAAGGTAAGTTGTACCGGTTCAACACAAAACTTGCCTTCATCTCGCTGCTTTCTGTAAAACGAATTTTCATCTCCCACAACCATTTTTCGGAAACGAACTCCGCGTTCGGTTCCGTCCCATTTCTGCCCAAATGTCCAATCACAAATATGCCTGATATTATACACCCCGAGCAGACAGTCGGGATGACTCAACCGAGGCCAGTCAGTACGGTCTTTCATATTCCCCCCGATGTTACAGTTGGACCCGTGCGACGCTCTCAACACTGGCCTGGTATCTTGACATTTTTCCGCTCAGGCCCCCCCCCCCCATGTTCGATTGCATCCTCCTATTCTTCTGAACTAGAGACTGCCTTCATTCCAGTTCCGTGGCTGGTTGTTTTTGGGGAAACGGTCGGAAAATAATGATCCATAGTTCGACTGACTGGCATGGTAAACCCTAATTCCACTGTGATTTAAGTTGGCAAACAGGTATTTTGTTTGTGTCTTCAGTTAACTTACAAAACAGAATGTTTGGACGGACTGAGTAAGAGAAAACCATTTGAAAGCAGACGGATTGTGAGTTACGCAGTCTTCGGTACGCGAAATTATGATCAGAAGGTCAGTGTGAAAATCAGTGTGCAAAATCGGCGATGCGTTGTCGTACGCCATTGCCCCGCCGGCCGTCCGAGCTTCAGCGTTTTTGTAAATTGTTTCAGCTTACGGTCGGACAGATACCGCTTGTCCAATCTGGAGCGATTCGCCCTGACTCTGTATATTAACTGAGAGACTTCAACTCACATCTGAAGGTTAATGACTATGGTTTCCTATACAAAATGCTTTGAGTGTCCACTCTGGATAAAGATGTCCTCCAGTTAGCGAATTTACACTCGTTTGCAAACAAATTTGGTTCTGCGAGAGACTCACCCAGCTGAATCTCCCGTTTGTGATGTTTCCGGGCAGTCGTTTTGCTTAAATTTTCAGCTTTTAACCCTAGAAAATCCTTATCGATCGCCCAAATATCCTAAAACCATCCTTTTATTTTTTGGAGAGGAAGGGGGTGGGGACACAAAGCTCTTAATATAAATTGGCTGCCAATTCCGTGTTTGTTTCTCATGCTGTACCCACCGAACGGCCGATTTTTTCAGTCATTTGAACATCTTGAAAGCTAACGCAATTAGAGTTTCCTCATTCTATAGTGAAATTTACTTACAGTTCGATTAACCTGTGGAGCTTCTGTTCTGTCGCCATACTCACTATAGCTCCATTTCTATCGAGGACTCTCGGCAAGTTAACGCCGACTAGACTGCTCGCTGTTGCTATTGCACAAAACCGATCACTACGCACACTTAATCGGTAACAATTCCAAGCTGGATGAATAATGGGGTTTTCTCGTATGGAAGCTCTTCAGAAGGCGAGCGTTTTTGCACTGACGAGCTTTTCTGACCGCAGAACATCCGAACTTATTGGTCTTGTCGATCCTGATCAGGTGGCTACTAACTTGCACTTAGCACTCAAGGAGACATCCTCACCTGTGGGTGGAATGTCATCGAGACACGGGAAAGGTGTTCATCATAATCAGAGACAGCGACGTCAATGTTGACATTGATGCTTCACTGTCGTACAATCACAAAGTTCATTTAATTATATCTAAACCCTTAGAATGAAAAGAAGAGCAAACGAGTGGGTGGCGGAGGGGGGCCTAATGCTGGCCTATCGCAAGCATTCTGAGGTGCCTACACCTCCAAGCGCTCAATCAGACAAACTGGGAAGAAACTGACAGCATGAGCGCCATTGACATGGATCAGTCATGGATGCGTGGCTGTGTTACCTTCCTTCTTCAGGTCGTCTGAGGCGGTAGTTCTTTTTTGATTCTGGTCATCTATCGTGTTTTCCCCAGCGCATTACATTTCGATCCTTTCATCTTTTCAATCCACTTTAAATTCAGGTTGCCGGAAGCGTTTCACATCTACTGAATGCGATCTCTCTGGACGAGGAGCATCAACACGAACGAGCTGCAATCTTAGGTGTTCGGGCGGACGCCTCACCTTTGTTGGAACCGAATCGCTCGTCCCAGACCAGCTTGGATGCTTTCGGTAGTGACTCGGCTTCCTACAGTTCTGATTACGGCGCAGACCCCCTCGAAGGCTTTGAGCTTGCTCAGGTGTCCGATCTGGTTCCTGGTATCCCTATTCAGTCTGGAGAAACCTTTGCACCCCTGGCCGCTGGAGTCCGAGGCTTAGTGCATGGCTTCGTCGGAGGCCTGACCTCAATGGTCACGCAGCCATATAAGGGCATGCAGGAAGACCAGTTCAAGGTGAGCGCCTGTTCTTTTTTCTTGTCCTGGATTGCTAACAATGCCGTACCGCGACTGCCGGCTTTTTAAAGACCTCCTGACTTACTTTTTGTCCGTGTCACTTCATATCTGTGTTTCCGTTTAGACAGACTTCGTATATACTTTCTGCTGATCTATTTTGATTTATTCACGTTTAGGGCTTCGTTACTGGATTTGGAAGAGGAATTTTGGGGACAGTTACTAAACCGCTTGGAGGCATCCTCGATCTCGTATCGGGAGTCATGACCACGATAAGTGAGGCCACGAGATTTTCTTCGAATGTTCAACCCCGACGGCGGCGTCCTCGTCGGTCCGGCTTGTCAAAGTACGCACTGCTCCCATTGGCTGTCTATCGCCTAGACGAGTCTGTGGCTCAGCTGCAACTGCATAGACTTACTCTGTTCACTTCTGCGCGCAGTGCTCCCAAGTCGTCCAGACGCTATACTTCTCCTCCCTCGACCACGTCGACTGAATGGTTGGAAATTGGTGAGGAGGTAGCTGTGGAATTGGAAGACTCTTCTGCTCACCCAGTAGAGTCTAAAGAAGTAATACATGCCTTGCAATCAGTCAGCTGCGCCATACATTCCACAGTCGACGGAGCCTGGCTTTCCCACCGCTTCAATTATCCCGAATGTGTTTTCTACGTACTACCCGTTCAAGAAGCTGGTGTTGTGGCCATTCTCACCGATCGAGCCATCTGGTGCGTGAGCAGCCAATCGCTTCGCGGTTTCGTTTCCTCTTGGCCAACCGATCCTAATACACCAGTAAGTTTGTCATCTCTTCTAGCATCGCCACGTGCTTCCACTAAATTGCATGATCTACTTATGTAGCAGTAGGTCCTTGTGAGTGATTTTCGATTTCTGTTCGCGCATAGTAACCTAGGTTTACTTTCAGACTGATATTTGGTACTCGCACGCTAGACGAGCGGCTCTACAATATGGTCAGGGGTGAAGGCTGTGTTTGATTGAGCCTCGTTGTTAGTGTCCATCTGTGGGTGTGTTAATACGCTTCTCAGACTGCAGTCGGTAACGATACGGGGAACATACAAGGTTTTGGCCTCCGTTTCCCTTGAGGTGATTGATGAACGGCCTCTCCGGATCGACACGGATAGTTCGACGTGGTGTGAGCATAGGAAATTTAAACCAACCCTTCAACTGTGATCAGACCATACTTGATCGATTGTCATCATCATCAATAACCCGAGTACATGTTGCGAGGCTCTTTCGATTGGTATTAGAAATAAGGTAAACTCAAAACCGTAGTTGACATCATTAGAACGTGAATCATCGTTTATGGTGTTCTCATGGAGCGGCAACAATGATTCATAAACGCCGTCGTTTACACGAATCGACCGTGTTTGCTTCTCTCCCTCTTGATTTACCTCGATCCGGGTCCCCTTGGGAGACTAGGAACACGCCTTTCTTTTCCTGTAGCGTTTGCTTTTTGGCCATGGTAACAACTTAACCCGTGCCTGTGTTTTATCGAAAACGACCCTACGAGACATTTGGTAAACGAGTTTGAAGTTGTCATCATGATTCTGACTTGGCATTGACCTCGATCACTGAACGCTTACCTACCTCTAAGTTGATGTGCCTTCTTTGACGCGTTCTTTGCACAACCTGTCTAATTTCACGTATTCCACTTCGTGACTTGTCATTTCAACCGCTGAAATCTATCCTCCTTGTTTGTCACAGTTCGAACGTCTACCGGGACCAATATTTCTGCTCACGGAGCACGCAACACTCATGTTTATGCTGCCTTACCACCGTCTCGATCATGTACGCGTAAAAAGGAGCAATTTCTCCTTGTCGAATTCCTCATCCACGTCCGAATCTGTGTACGTGGTTTTCACGGGAGATTCCGGAGTCAGCGCGCAACAGTTACGATGTGATCACACGTCTTGGGCTGTCCAGTTGACCAAACGTACCAGAGAGACCCAGTTCCGTTTTCTTCAAGCAGCATTTTCACTCTTTCGACCAGACCTGACCCTCACCCCGACCGCTGTGAATACAAACCCCACTGGTCGAAGCATACGGCATGGGGGTGTGCCTCTGGTCCCGGGATATCCTGTGGCATTAGCCTATGCTCCAGTCTATAGATGAACCTCCGCAACGACTTTTAGACCCAGCGTGATCTTATTCATCTGCTTTCCAGTTTCTTTTTTATCGAAGGACATTTTCAGTTCTTTCAAAATTTAGGGTGCGTTTGACAGAACCCAATCTCGCCGTTTGTCTGCTGATCTTATCAGTTATTTTTTTATATTACAAGGCTTTTTTGAGCGTGGCCTTTTTTGAGCTTTAGGGGGAGGGGGCACACCTTCACTGGTCATCATGGAAGTGTGCTTATCTCTACGATTGCACCGAAGTGAGGGCCGCCTCAACCCGATTCCCTGAGGATATCGGTTTCTCTCTACATATATCCAAGTTTTGTCAGAACCAGAAGGTCCTGAACATCAAATCGCATTTGAACTCGACGCGGAAATGAATACCTCTACGTGCAGAAGACGTACGGAAATTGACAGTGTCTGACAATCGGTGTCTCCTTAGCATCGGTTAGGTCTGTTGGGAACATTGGATTAGCAATGCTGAGGCACACATCACAATCCGAGGCTCATACAGCTGTCCAGGTAAAAAACTTGTCTACCACCTCAATCCGTTCACTCGCAAGCATGAGATTAGGGTTTGAGCCCACCCAACCTTGAAGTAGAACTTTACATTTCCCAGGTGTAAAGCACATACAAAACCGTAAGGCAGAAATGTTTAGATAGCTTAATATTTGTAATACGAAGGCGTCAGATCCAAGAAGTTCTGCGTACTTGTTTACCGTAGGCTGATGCCCCGGTAGTAATTCGACTTCACAGGCACCAGAGCCTGATAATTTCTTTTCTGTGGTCGTGTCAATGACGAAATTGGAGGGGAAGGGTTACGTAAGGCAGCCCTGTCTGACATTTGGTGTAGCGAAATCTGGTAAGTGCTTCCCGAAGAAATCCACGCTCATTTGGTGTAGCGAAATTTGGTAAGTGTTTCCCGAAGAAATCCACGCGTCTGCGGGCATTGGCATAGAGCGCCCTAAGGGGAGTGGATAATTTGTGTGGACATCTTCGCTCCACAGACAATGTCCACAGAGCCAAAAAAGATAGGCCTTGCTGCCGTTCCAGAATCCGTCGGAAGGTGAATATGTAGTCGGTGCATCCTGTTGCACGAAGGGACCATATTTTTCGAAGATCTGTGACTACCTGTATGCGGCCAACCTTCGAAAGGCAGAATCAGGGAGAACTTCGATGCCACAGCTACCAGGGCGAGGCCACGGTGGTTTCCACTGCGGTAGCGTATCCTTGAAGACAGGAATGGCCGTCCACACAGAATCAGGGAGAACTTCGATGCCACAGCTACCAGGGCGAGGCCACGGTGGTTTCCACTGCGGTAGCGTACCATTGAAGACAGGAATGGCCGTCCACATGCCACATTCTCCAGGCACTTTTTCCACGTTCCATATTGAACCGATAGGCTTTATCAAGGGGTCACCAGTGGCTCTCTGCCTTCTTTGAAGAAAGCTCGATACAAACATCCGGTGCCGGTGTATTCTCATGTTTCAGCCCTTATATTTCGCGCCTTATTTCTTCTTAAGACAGACGAGTAAGGCTTACATTCCATCCTCCGTTATGGGCGGTCTCCAAGGCTGTGCTGCTGGAGGTCAACCAGACTGTTCTAAGTGTTTGTCCCGTCACTCCGGTCGAAATTCTCGCGAGTGATTAATTCAGCCGCCTTTCCCCCTTATCTTTTTGTTGATCGCCGCTTCTCTAGGGCCAGTCTATTGTACCAGTTGATACAGGGTACGCCCGTTCCCGAGTTGTTACCATCTACCGATTTTTAATGTCCACCAGAGCACTCGGTCTTTCCCTAGACGCTTCACTATTTGTAGTTTGAGGGCCTTGTGTGCATTCAGGTCACCCTCCTGTTTGACGAGTGAACTTGGATGTCTCTCGATAAGAAGTATCCTCTTCAGCGTCAGAACTCTGGCCCGTTGGGGCATATGTCGACACCAAAAACAGGCACTACTTTTTATGTCAGGGTAACTGTTCAATCGAATCCATTCAAGCAAAGCGCGTCCAGCCCTACAGCTGAGTGAAACTCCCGTCCCATGCGTTGCCGAAATTATAATAACAATGTTTATTCCCAACTTGTGGGTGGCATGCCGTCTGGCATGATCATGCGTTTATAGTCAGAATGGGGCATTACTGAGGGATTTGCGGGTAGTGTTGACTGCGCGAAAAGGGGACAATGTCACAAACAGTGGGAGGTACTCGATTAAATAATAATAATAATATTTTTCTCTTGCAACTTGTAGTGAACAATAGGCATGAGGTCCGAGTAATTCAGTGACTCAGTTGGCTGCCATGAACTAAAACTGCAAAACCATTGCTGGCCATGAGTGACCTTGGGCGGTTGGGTAAATGGCCGGAGTCATAACAAGCAAAAGTGGAGGTGGAGATGGGATAATCCGAATTGGGAGAACACGGCAAGTTTAGTCTCAAAAATATGGTGCAATCTGAAAACAAGCAGACTCACTGGTTGCTCTGTTGTTGGGAAGTCAGGTGTAGGGGTTAGGTTTGATGGGAACACAGCGGTGGTTGAATTTGAACGAGTAGTCCAATAGGTTGGAATGAATGTCATGGTGGTCGATTGGGGTCAATGAAACGAGTAGGCAAGAGGGCACGGTTTAGGGGAGGAATGGAACAGTTGCGGGTGTGCTATCAAACTGAGTATGACAGTGCCGTGCCATCATTGGCCTGACATGCTTCAGTTTTTGGACAGCCCCGTGACGGACGTCAACATTTGAGATAATTCGTCTTGGGTATGCAGTTCATTGAGCAGCGGTATTTATTTCAGCCTGGTCGAGGAAACAAGCTCGAACGAAGCCGATATGGGACTGCAGGTTTTCTTGGTCCGTTTGGTGATCCCGGAGTTGTAGATCATAGGCCAGGTGGAGTGGAGATCAGCTAACCAGATCGTCCAAAGCGGGCACTTCCGAAGTTTAAGGCTTGGGAAGGTGAGGGGATGGGAGGAGATTTGCAAAACATAGTGAGTTTGAGGGGATATGAAATGGGATAATATGCATTTATATACATAGAAAGAAAAACTTGGCGTCTGATGCAACTAGGATGATGACAAGCGATTACATGGAGTAGGGAGTAGATAAATTTTACTTAGTAGGCTAGCGACCAGGGGCTGGTTTCGCTGATATACGGTATTATATTACAAGAGATCTAGTAAAAGCCGATATAAGCGCGCAAAAGTGTCGCATGGGAATCAGGTGTGTAAGGGCTGGCGGGAATGGTATTCTGAGCTAACTGGTTATCGAGTGTTTATTACATGAGTTGGATATATACCAGGAGAGAAAGTTGGCGGGGTAGGAGAAAACAATCAGGCCAGTAACACAGCATAATTAGAATTAGTAGGTAAGTCGTGCAGTGATTTGGGGAAGAAATAGCTAATTTTGATTTGGTTTTTGCCAGTAGAGTTTGGACGAGAACAATAGACGCTAGACAGAGTTTATAGAGTAGTCCGGTGCAGGAACTAGACTAGTACGAGGTGTAAGTTTGTACGGGGAAAAAGATAAAAAGAAAACAACCAGACCAGTAACGCTGAATATTTAGATCAAGTTGGCATTTAGTCCTTGGTTAGCTTAAAGCGGGTCAAGAGGATGGGAAGAAATGATAACAAGATCCTTTACTTGCCTATTAACTGTAACGTCGCTTGACTCATATGCGTACTGGACCTGATTCGTAGAGGAGGTCAGAGGGTAGTTGAGTATTAAGTAAGACGGCAGCAGTTTCACAGGTAAGGAATTTGTCTACAGACTGAGAAAAAGCATGGTGATGCGTGATGCTTCGCAGCTGCTCAGGAAGGCTGTTCCAGATGCGAGCGTAATAAACTAGAAAGAAGTAGTGGCGTAGGTTTGTGCGGGCTGGGGGACACACTAAGAGATTGCAGAGATTGAAGTTTTGGTTTTTACAGGGAGTTGGTCTAATCCATTCAAACGTTCCGGCGACATGGTACTCATGGCATTTTGTTTAAGTGAGGGAAATTTCAAGGTCACGGACTATCATCAATTCGTATTTTGTTACCGGTTCACGCCAGATAAAGTGCAAAAGCGCCCCTCAACATATTTGAGCATTCTTCGGTGTTCTTGAAGAAGGAAATTGCATGCACAGAATATCTGACGCAAATTCCATCCAGAAAAATCGGTCAATGATGTTTGCTTTACACTTTTCAGATTTATCAAATTATATGATATTAGTCGCAACCAATTTCTATGTGGAGCTCAGCTTCCATTGAATACAACATTCTTAGAAAACATCAGCAGCGGTGCAAGGGCCAGCTTTGTGGAGGATCCCCTTTCTCTGATATGTATAAGTAGCCTGTAGACAATGCAGCTTCACGAGGTAGCCGCAGATAAATTACCGAAACAGCGGTATTGTTTTTATTGGGAAAAAAGCTCTATAGGTGGCGGTCACCAAGGTAACGGTAGCCGTTTCACACACCTCGACTACTAATCCTAACTGTTGGGTCCGTGTCTACGTGCGACGATGTTTAGGGGGCCTCACCTTTCACGACAGCCTATGCTAATGACCAACGAATTCCCCTTATACTCATCACTGTACTCGCTTTCACGCATCTCGAATACTTATTGTAACTCCAAGGCCCGTGTCTATGTAGCGGACTAGGACCTTATCAGCGTGTTCGGATAAATTAACAAGCAAAAGTAACCAATACAAAATCACAATAGGAAAAGAATCAATAGTCAAATGGGGACTCATGAATGTGAAGATCCAATAGTCCACTACACCGCTCCAAATGCAGCAACTGGCTGTGAAAGGAAATATTCACTTGTCGGAATTTCCCACAGATGGTTCCGCGTGAGTGATATATTCCATGGTAGGGAAATTACTCACGGCTAAACAATGTCACAGGGATTTATTGTGACGTTCAACAGTTGACACAAACACAGAGATTTAGTTCCACTGGTTGAGCAGTCAACAAACTGTTCAACAGAGCGTAAATACGCTCGTTCAGCAAGAAGTCAGCAGGTCGCACCGGAAAATTGCGTATTTGTAACATTAAAACAAACGTCATGATACAATGTGAACGGCGGTTACAAAGTGTGGTTCAAGTTCAGGAAGAATGGTAAATGTGACAACGGATTACAGGCACTACATCTATGTGCGATGCCTCACCCATGCACGGTAACCTAATCCAAGGGTCAAAGACGGTCTTTCATATCCATAAATATTCTCAGTGTCGCTTATGTCTGCTACCTGAGGTAAACATCAAACCAGTATCCATGTGAACCGATCAACTATGCGTGACCAATGACGGCCTTTCATACTCATAAATCTACGCGTTATAATTCATCTCAAATACTAATCGTGCCTGCCGGGTATTTGCACACACGAAGTGTGGTTTTGAGACAACCGTCATCAAACACTTGAAAAAGCTGATTTTGGCAATTTGCTCGCAAACTTTTCATCACCAATCGAGGTGAAATCATCAGTGGGTTATTAAGGAGCGTAGGTGTGCGTAGTGGTGGTTTAGTGATTGTGCCACACTGCATGCTGTGTGCTGAGGTACGAGGGCTTGTCGTTCCTCACTCGGGCCAACCCAAAAAAAATCAAACGTAAGCTCCCAATAATCACATGAGCTGCCTCTTGACAACCAACCCCACATGGGTAGCTGTGTCGAGAATCCGGAAGAAATTATATTGACATGGAGCTTTGTTAAGCCCAATACTTGTCCAAATGTTGTCAGTTACGGACTCATGACTATTGGCTTTCCTCGTGCTGACACAGAAGTATCAGCAAAGGGCAAAAAGCTGTGGTACAAAATTTATTTAGGAGTGCAGTATCATGTGCGTAACAGACTGCTGGCACGGAGGGCGTTTCGCTTGGGTGGAAATTCATACTTTCGGAAAAGTGTTGTCCTGCAGGATTTTTGTATACTGAATGAAAACTGGACAAGTATCTTTAGGCGGTGACTCATCATGAGGAAGCCAGAATCCAAACTGAGTTCTAATATTATTCAGCAAAAAGTGTAGCCGCGTGTCAGGCGGCTTATAGCTTATCGCTTATGGCGAAATCAGATATTTTGCGCCTGCTTCTTAAATGGAATAGATATTTAAAGTCAAGACCACTGAAAATAGCGTGAAAGTGCCCTTTCAAATGGAATGTATTTTTAACCAGCGCAATTTCTAGAGACATGGTGGCTGACGAGCCGGGCTACCACGTTAGGGCTACGAAGCTTTCAGGATTAACACTTGATGGCGTAGAATATCTGCGTATGGTGAATTATTCTACAAAATTTTTAAGTAGGCGATCTTCAAGATCGCCATTCGCCACCAACCGCGAATACACAGCCAAATGTAATGACATATCGCGAACTTCAGTGAAAGGCTAATCGCTTACAATAGAAGAAATTTGCACACTCTTCTGCAGCTGAAAGAATTCACCGAAAATTCTAGAAACGCATGGTCCTTTCTGGATGCAAAATGTGCGTGGATGCCACTCCTGTAAACAGTTTTTGCAATTTATATCTGCTCAACTGGTCGAAGTAGGAAGTTGTGAGGAAGCTCGCTAATTGCCATTCGGAAAGAACGTCTCGGAAGCCGCGTTCTATACCGCCGGATAAATTTTGCCAGGTTGGAAGAACGTACGGCTTATAGATGTTGTAACTGTTTGTTGCTGGACGGCAGAACGTTCCATTTTAACTTGCAAAAGATACCACAACGGCCAGGTCGTCGACCATTGCGGAGTGAAATTAGCTAGTACACATGGTAAGCATGTGGCTACGGTCCCATGATACCTAATCGGCTGTTCAGAGCGTATCCATTCATCTCTACTGAGGAAAGGTCCAAACTGGACGAAAATAAAAGGTGAATAATATTGGTCGTTCTTATAAGTAAATGTGGCCCGCAGGAAATTGTGTGGCCTTTTTGTGTGGAGTTCTCACTGAGCTTTTAACGTCCTTAAACGGGAGGAAGATACAAATTGGGCTATCAAAATGTCACCAGGAGGCAAGTGACCGACAAACCGGGGGCAGTATTCACCATACAATGGGAGCACCTCATCGAATACAATGTCATAAGGGATCGTTTACGCAGCGCCAACTTCAGTGGCTTATTCGTGTTGCGTAATTTCCTACATATTGATACCAACTGGCAATACCCATTAAAAATATGAGACTTACATGAAATGCATGACGCCTCGTAAACAGTCAAGCACTTTGGATTTGACGGACCGTGTATGCTTCACATCCAAACATCATCATCCCTTTCCTTTAACTGGCGCTCTGCAGAGGGCAGGGTTCGTCATGAAAACAGTATACGCGATCCAATGCAGACCAGCAATTACTGGTGCTGGTCGGTCGGGCGAAAAGCTTACACAACCCCAAGTCTGTGTCACCAGACCGCTATCCGAGTTCAGGCGCGGTGTCCGCGACCACCGGTCGTCAGTTGCAGATGTTGAGTGTTGACGCAGCAGGATTTTTTCCTGAATAATCAATCGCCTAATGATGCCTGTGACACTCCTGGGTTGTCTTTTCCGAAGCAGGCCGTCCAAAGATGTCGGTAGTGGTTTGGGAAAAAGTGCTAGGGTACATTTTCTTCCGGTAAGTTATGATCTGACAACCGACGTTAGTGGTTGGTAAAGTAATTTGAAAAATTTTATGAAGAATATTTCTTACTGCATATCACTAACTGATCTCGAAATACAGAGAAGGAATGGATGTAGGGGAGAAACATCGCCTAGAAGGAGGGGCGTTTGCATTCTTTAGCAAAGGTGTCAACCTGGGTGTTTTCACCACGAACTATAATTTCGCCAAAAATAAATTAACCTCACCTTTTTTGTTCCAACACTATGATAGTGCAGCCTTAGCTGTCGCGGCGCTAGGTACCCCAAAACGAAGGAACGCGCACACGTGAACATTCGCCCGGCTACGTTCAGAACGTAGTCGACACCCTGCAGGATTCCCCGTCGGTCGTAATGATACAACGCATTCACCTCGAATTCCCGCGCCACTCGGCGTGCCAGACGCTTTTTGTGTGGCGTGCTCTAATCCGTCGAAATGATGTGCTTGCACCCTGATATCCCCAGCTCCATACGGATTTCTCCCACACCGCTCTTGCGTGACAAATATGCTCGTGTTTATGACGGCTTAACTCAAGGCAAGGACGAATGACTCATATCGGATGCCATATTTTTCGACTTCTCAAACGCATTTGATAGGGTCCCACTCGTCCCGCTGTTCCACAAACTCGAGTTTTACGGAATCCAAGGGAAAATCCTTTACTGGATCAAGGCGTTCCTATCAGAGAGATCATTCCGAGTGAGAATGGGCTCGACCTACTAACCAAGTTGTCTACTTAGGACGCACGAAAGACGTCACCCCCATTGAGCGTGTCCAGCGGGCCGCTACGATAATGGTTGCCGGCCTCAAGTCCGTGGATTGCGAAACGCGTCTCGTGATGCTTGATCTCTTTCCCCTGGAGTACCGTCGCCTCCGAGGGGACCTAATTCTTGCTTGCGCCCTGTTTGAACAAAGCTTGGCAAAGAGGTTTTTTACTGTTGATCCAGCAAACACCCGGCGGGGGCATAGTAAGAAAATTTTCAAGCTCCAAACACACACATTCATCAGACAAAATATTTTATCATTTCGGGTAGTAGCGGCGTGGAATGACCTTCCTCCGACGGTCGTTCACGCTCCTTCTAGAACCCAGTTTAACGCACTGTTAGACACATATCTGTGCGAATGCTCGCGCCGGCGAGCATACTGCCCCGCGCTGAGAACATAAAGAGCAGTGCTACACCCTTTTTTCACTTGTGCCTTTCAGGTGAACGACAGCCACTGNAAGAACAAAACCGACCCGGGAAACTTGGGCAATAGCCTCGAACCTGTGTATCAATCCGTGAATCCATGGATTTTAAGGCGACCATCGGTATTCTTCAGACGTTAGTTAGGCACACCGATCACATCCCGGATTTTTCGTGTGCAGCTCATCTTCGGGTGGTACAAAACCGGTGGGACGTATGATGACAGACAAATCGCGGGTCTGCACAGCACAGTGTTTGCAGATCTTGCCGGAATCTGTGGGCTTGTAGTATGCTGAATGATAAACCTACTGTACAGTACTGTCCAAGAGAGCCAGCGGCAGAGTGCGTCTGTTACCAAAAATACATGGGTGTTATGTGGCAAATAGTGCTTCCTGAGAGCTTTTCCAATATGAAGGTAGCACAATATGACGTCACAGCCGAACACCGTTCTTGCGACACTCATTCATGTCGCCCACTTGTTCATGACGAAGGTCTTCGTTTGACACCTCTTCCATATTGTTCCCCTGAATAAGCCTGACAGTTTTTGCACGGAGCGAACGGTTCGCTTTCCAAGAAGGCATACATAAGCGGAAGCCCGGTACCCACGCCATCCTTGATCAGGAAGGCATACAACTTGCATCTGCAGGTCGAATATTATATGCTTCAAAAAACTAACCCAGAACGGTTTGTCGCTGTATACGTTTAATACAACTCGGAAGCGTCGAGTCAAGTCTACCTGCTGTCATCTGTAGAAGCATGTGTGGCTCTGGTGACCTTCCCATGGATGCAGCCTAGGCGAGCATCCGACCTCCCAAAGTTCTGACAACGGTACGTAGAACTTACCGGTGGTGCGTGCAAAGAAGACAAGCGGGAACTACCGGTTTTGCGTGAATTTCCGGTGTCTGAATGAATTGATCACATTCCAGGTTTTAGCTGCCCATTCGATTGTGGAGATTTTCGGTTCCCTTCATTATTTACGACAATTCACGATGTTCGAACTGCATTCCGGATACGGGCAACTATCTAGCACGGTGGAGAACCGAGAGAAAATGGCGTTTACTGTTGGGGACTTCCAACAACGTCAAATTAGCCGGAGGCCGTTTGGTTTATCTTCGGCACTATTCATTTTCTGGCTTTTGATGCTTCGTTCAATGAAGGGATTCTAGAATGTTTCCGTGCACGGAGACGATAGTTTGGTGCAGATGCTTGCAGAATGTGGAGGTCAAATGGGTAAGGATGCTATTATAGCACCAGAAATCAAACGACCTAACTGAACGCTATAACCGAACAATCAGAAGTGGCAGGCGGCCGAAGGGGGTGACTGGAAAGTCAGCCTACCAATGGTGTTGCTAGCACATCGTGCTTTCATACAGACAAACACAGGCAAATCCCCGTTCTTGCTGATGTGCGGTCGGCATCCACGCCTTCCAGTTGGTCAGGAAGTTAAGTTGTGTCTGGCAGCACGTCTGTCTCCGGAGGAGCTGGGAGAGCAAAGTAGGAAACCTCGGGTGAACCCAACCGTCGTTCGGGAAGTGACTAGACAGAAAACGGCAAGTAGAAAGGTAAGTTGGCTCTGGCAGCACGCCTGTTTCCGGAGGAGTTGGGAGAGCAAAGCAGGAAAGCTCGGATAAACCCAACCGTCGTTCAGGAAATGACAAGACAGAAAACGGCAAGTAGAAAGGCACGGCCATTCCCCATAGGTACGAATTCCAAGCAGAAGGATCATCAGAATCCTGTATGAAGTGAACTGGGGTCGCGGGAGCTGGACAGTCGGTAACAAGGTCCGTTTGTCGTCACCGACCACCGGTGGAACGTCTACACCATTCAAGAAGTTTGGGGGTAGAAAAGAGTAAATGGGCCTCAGCTTCGGACGTGGTATGATCACCCGAAGTTGAGGCCGAATAGATATGCTGTTGCGGCCGACCTAACAGAGGTAAATGGAAATCGGTGGCATGCAAGCGACCTTTAAATGGGAAAGGTGTGTAATGGAGGATAATACCGATGAGGCGTGCGGGTATCATATTGTTTTCCCGTGGCTTCGCCTCGTGTGCATTCCATGGTGTTTGCTTTAGAACCTGCGGAAATATTTTGCAGCGTTCGATTACAATCGCGGAGTAGTCAATGAAAATCCACGAAGGTCCAAGAAAATGCGTGAGGATGTTCAGTTTTTAAGAATAAGGTGCGTATGAGATGTTTACTTTCCCGTCGAATATTTTTTAACGTTTTAGTTGGTTTTTGCCAATTAACAAATCCGCGGAGAAGGACTTCCTCTTTACACTGGCTCGAACACCGTTTGCAGCTGACGCTTAATCAAACTAGCTGAACATCCCCAAAGTTCGCTGTCTATTACAAGTTGGGCCGTTGTACGATCAACATCCTCTGTGCACAGGGCCCTTACACGCCCAAGCATTGACGAGCCAATACTGGTGGAAACCGACTTTGGATGGGCAGAAGTGTTGTAGGTGTATGGTTATCAGGTGTAATAATCATCTGGATTTTACTTAACTTCACCCACCTTCCCTCCCAACTCACAAGCCCTGAAAGACCAACGAAATCTGTCAGTGATACCAGCGAAGATTTATCAGTTTTAGTAACGTGAAGTGGAAGAATAGGGAAACAAACCCGATGGGCGTTAATTTGAAATTTTCCCAACCCAGAACTGCAGGATTTCAGCATCCATACTAACCGACAAGAGCCGTTAATTGACACTCAACACTTACTTAATGTGTAGTGGTCGGCTACGCAATAAGTTGGTTTACCAGGAGTGTGTGGCAAAGAAATAAAATAATAACGCTAGGTTGGGTATACAATAATGAAGAGGTCAGATGAAACAGACTCAGTTGTTCTCTTTAAAATAGTTCTTTGTTGGCCTAGGTCAGCGAATAAACACTAATCCATTNTTGGTCCAGAGGTCTTCTTCTGAACAGTTCCCACATATAATAGATTCCGAAGATGTCTGAAATGTTTTGGTACCAGAGTTAGTACATGAGACTCGCGAATGATCGCTGCAAGCGCGAGCGAAATCAGAAGAGAGAGTCGAAGCACGTGATCACGCTTGTATTCTGTGAAATTGTAGAAGTGCGCGTTTTTGTAGTTTTTCGTATGCAAACAAAAAACTATTATGCAACTGATGACATACGTAGTGTTATGATGGTTAGTGTTAATGGTACAAAACGCCACAAGTGCGCCGGTATGAAGATTTCTTAGTAACTGTTTCTCTGTCTCTCTTTAAAACTGGCATTTTGGTAGCCCAGTTAAAAACTACCGATAGCTTACTAAACTCTTTCAAAACGATGACTTCTAAATAGGTTTCATAATTTTTCCACTTGAACTGATTCAAATTCACGCTGTGAGCTCATGGAGGGCATGCTGTGATTGGCCAAAATATGTACGGGTCGGCCGTCCATCGTTGAGCCCAGCGCTTGCTGCGCTGATACGGCGGTCGCTCACACCATGTTCCTCACTGTTTCCATGATCTGTAATTGTTATGGTCGACTCACCAGTGTGTCTACATTATTTCATTCTGTAGATGAACCCCATGAGGATTTCCTTCTGGTCAAGAAACGGACGGGGGTTTTTGTGTGAGATCAAAAAACAAACGCCACCAACCGGCAGTACACCGAAATGTGGGTGGCTGGGGTGGGTTAACTAATTACAGTGTGTAGCTGTTGATCATTTTGCCGAGCTTGACAGCTTGTTTTCAGGCGATTCGTCAGCAGTTGTTTGGACACATAAGTGTGTGTTGTGAAAATTGGGTGTGGGTCATTTTTGGAGTCACCTTGTAGCGAACTTATGATGGCCAAGTGTCCAACTCAAGATGGCCTAACCACTTTCCCGCCCAGATATTTCCCTCTCTGAGAGTACTGGCCGGAATCGCCTTCTGTGGAATTCATCTTCACATTACTCTTGCTCTAATATTATCCTTCCTGTCCAAGGGCAATCATTCTGATGGGTCCACGCAAAGTTAGAGAGCGCTGAACTTGGCTTTCGCTCTTGATAGAGCTCATCGGCAGTGGAGTTTGGATTGCATGTTTGCTACCCGAGTGTGGTACCTCTACTCCGTTAATGTTTTCGAGTTTTCGATCCTGAACAGGCGGACATATTCACGCATGAGTGGTGTGATTGTTTAGACTCAAGATTTCTAACAGTGACCCGGTGTCTCCTCGTATTGTCGATCGATCAGCCTTCCTTCCCAGTCGAAAGGAAACAAATTGAAATGAAACGGTACCAAAGGTTGATGGACGGAGGGTCCGCAGAACTGCGGAATGCACTCTGGCGTGTATAGAAATGGGACCGGAGATGCACTCATTTGCCGACAAATACGAAAGCACAAAAATGCTATCAAAGTAATCTGTACTGGCAACTGCATAACAACAGTGGAGCCTCAATAACCGTGACCCTAGACCATTCCAGGAGTGAACGCTGTGTCAAAGTGCCCATCTGGACGATAGGTATCTTGACGTGGCCCAGGGTTTCCCATTATGACAAGGAGAAAAAACAAACCCTTCACCTTGCAGGGTGTCGGAATGTGCACCCCTGCTGCACATAACCAAAGGACAGTAATCCATGTGCAGTAACCAGACGGGCGAGTGATCGTTTGAAAAAACGAGTCTAATTTGTGGGCCTCAAGGTATAGACTTCGCATGACGGTTGGTCTATTCCGAATGTGTGAATTCATGGACGTTGGAGTCATCGCGGTGTACCACCCTTGCCTCTAATCCTCCAGCGGTGAAGTCGGATGTGGTTCGAGAATCGGTTGCGCGGAAACGTTGCTGAAGTTTCCTAAGAAAACTTAGTCTTGTAACCTATGAAGGCCTGGCAACCGGTCGCTGTGCCTGAGCAGCATGTATCCTTAATTATTTCTGAAGCTGGATACTACCGTCTCTGAAACTAGTCGCCTTCTGTGCAGCAACCATAAAACATGTACCGAAGACACATTGGGTCCTGCTACTACAGTTTCAGTCGCCGGAAATCAGAAAAGTAGTGGAGATATAGCCAAGCATTGAAGACGTTAGTATGGTCACTCTGTTCGAGGAACTTGGCAACTACTCATGCCTTTGATGCGTAAGTACCACTGGAAAATGGGAAAGCAGTGGAGATATAGCCAAGCATTGGAGATGTTAGTATAATCACTCTGTTCGAGGAACTTGGCAGCTACTCATGCCTTTGATGCGTAAGTACCACTTAATGCGCGATTGAGCTGTGATGTCAGTGTCATTACCCGTAGGTAAGTTTAACCTTTGGGGTCTCCATCCTTAGAGCGCAGACCCAACTGCCAGTCCGTAGACCTGACCAATGCTTTGGAGACACTGATGGTCAAACTGACATCTTTCGTATGTCCTCTACGCGTAGAGGTTAGTGTGTGTGAATTACACTACCGCGGTATGAACTCTGACCTTGATAGCAACCTGATATTGCCATCAGTGTAGGAAGTTCGCTAAAGCTGAACTGGCTTTCCGCTTGCGGAAACATCCTGGAAGTCGCCGATATGTGGCCATTCCTTCCCTTTTCTTTTCTATATGCGTATGCAGCAGTGAGCTTCCTCGATGTTTGTGACCTTCGTACGTTGATCGCAATTGTCAACTGACCTCAGCTTGACAACTTTAGCTGCGGCGTACTATTAGTTAGCGCAGGGGCGAAATGTCTCAAATGGTGAATTTACTGACCGGAGGTTCTGTGGTTCGAACCCTACCTCTGCCTCTCTACTTCCCCTCCTTAGGCCTGGACAACCGGACAGTATCCCAGCCCTAGTGCTTCCTTCTGGCGGCATGGCAGCTAGGCATCGGAAGGGTGTTACAGGTGAACGATTTAAAATAATTTATTCGGTAGCCCAGTCACCAAGGGTCGAAGCGTTTGGCCGGAAACTTGAGTTCAACTGAAACCTGGCTTCACCATTGCACCTATGTAGCTCTGAGCAACCTGCTGATATTTTATCCCTCGCGCTATCCTGGGTTACTTAGAAGCGATACATCTTGATGGTGCCATAATACATAGATTTGGGTGTTTATGTCGCTGAATGGTTTCCGATGCGCACTTCAAGTTCTGGTGGCGGTCCGATGTCTCTGCACAGTTTTGTTTTCGGTTTCATTTTAGCTCTGATTGACTGTTTAACATCGTTACGAATAAAAATGAGCGCGACGGTTTCCTGGGAACATTTCCTCCCCGCAATTCGTGTACCAAGCTCCGAAGACAAAATATTCAAAGACGAATGTCCTTTTCACTTTGAAACAGCAGAATCTGGTGATGGTTTGTATGTATGTCTGAAACACTTCATTGGAGTTGGAGCCAGTGCGCTTCGAAAGTACGCTGCCTCAGCTGATTCTCGGGTCTTTCTACAGTACAAGATCAAACGGACATTTAAGAATCGAGGTAAGAGATAAAAATCCGCATACTTTTGACTCCTATCTGGCTATTCATACATGTCTTGGAAATTAGGATAGAGTTTACAAGACGGAGAATTCCTTTGAGTTTTTCTCTGTGGGACGCTTTTAGTACGTAGCTGCTATGTAGTTTGAATTAACCATGATGACTCAGATACTGCCATTCTTCTCGCACCGTCTGGATAGGATCAACAGAAAATCCATGAATCAAATACATCTCGGCCAGTAACCCCAAACAGTCCTGTTGGGTGTTTTATATATTTACATTTATCGGAGGGCGAATACCTCATGGATTTAGGATTGCTGTATGTTTATTAACTCAAGCGAATACTTGGTTGTGCAGAATGTACTTCAGTCGCGGAAAAAATTCAGCAGCATGGCTGTGGTGGTTCGGTCATGTGCTACGCATGCCGAAACAGTCTATGAGACGAATATTGTTCTCCGTACCTCCTTCAGAATGGCACAAGCAGCGAAGTGGACAAGGTGTGACTTGGAACAAGGGTGTAAAGAATAACAGGGAGTTTAGGTGCGTCTTTCAGGTCGGGGTTCCCGTGCCTCCTGTGTTTGGCTGCAGACATTGCAAGATGTCAGTGGCGTTCGTGTTGTCACCTTTCCAGATTATCTGAGAGTTTGCGGGTGTAAACGCCTCAGTGTTTGCGGTAGTCCAGCACAAGGTCTCTTTCGCCACCCACCTTTATTTTCACCAAAGCTTTGAATGTAATTCGATGAACCTTGTAGTTGTATGGCAGTGAAGCATCAGTCTCAGCACTGATGTTGCTATTTTTGATTATAATAATAATATAATGATGAGGATAATGTTTATCCAAAAATAATCCATCCGGTTTCACCGTCGTGACTAGTGCGGCACCACTATGAACTTCTCCATCCGGACATAGATCCATTGGTATCATCTCGGTGGATGGCTCATCATCAAATCAAATCCTCGACAGCATGACATCAGTGTTCAACACCGATGCTTCACTGCCGTACGGTAAATGGCTGAACTCTTATGAAAGGCCAAATTTACATCACTGTTGTCTACCACCTGATTTCATCAAAACGGCAAGAGTAAGCTTTGCGAATGTCATCGTACCAATGGATCCAATGACGGACCCATTGTCACAACAAACTGGGCTGGCCAGGTAGCTCACCGCACTATCATGAATCACTCATGATGATCAGTCAATAGTTTGTACTGTCTCATTCACTAGAAATGCTCTGGTGATGATTCAGCTGGCAATGAGGTGCCAGATTATGACCGATCGTTTATTCTGTCTTGTCGACCACACCGTGGTCATTTATTCGGGCATCCTCGAACTCAGTGACGTGGTCTTATGTCGACCTTGGACATGAAGGCGCAGCTGTACCACAACCACTGGTTTATTAGTGTCTTCCATATGTGGGGACGAGATCGCTCAGTGGTTAGAGCGCGAGTTTACTGACCGGAAGGTCCGTGGTTCGATTCTGACCTCTGCCTCTCCACATCCCCTGTCTAGACTTGGGAAACCTGACAGTATCCCAGCCCTAGTTTTACTTTGTGATGGCATGGCAGTTAGGCACCGAAAGGATGCTACAGCTGAATCCGCCCACATGTGGTATGTACGCCAGAATCATCGGTTTGCAATGCCTTAGCTTAATCGCCAGAGTCCACCTACTTTACCTACTTACGAGATGTTAGCTCTGATTCCTAATTTCAGCTGCTGTTAGTGTTTGCTAATACCAATAATGCGCTGTGAGCATCTGCCGGAACTTCGTTCCGAGAAGTCGTTACTTCCTTAGGGACCAACTTTCAGGAGTTCACTTAAGTTGTAGCTGCTATTCAGAAGTGACCAATTTCGGTTGACTCCTTTGCTGAATGTTTCAGTACTGAACGCACTCAAAAGGGTTCATTTTTGGTGAGTCCCTTGAGTGGTCTCCAGAGATAAACGTTTGTACATAAAGCACGAGGTCAGGACACCGACCGTATAGTTCACCGGACGCCGATCTGCCTGTTAAAGAATTAAGTTCGACTAGGAGCGTGACAGTGGATAAATATGATGGCGATTGTTCAACAGGTGATTTCTATGTATTACTATCCTTTGAGGTTCTTCACAAACCTGAGGAAGACCATTCCAACGTTTCAGAGGAAAATCAAATGGTAACTGATGATCAACAGCAAACAATTTAGATATACGAAAACTGTCGCGCAGAGCTTGCTTCAAGCAATGCAATTTTGTAAAACAGTCAAACATTTAGACCATTAGTGATGTCGTTTTTGTAGCGTTCTGTGTGACCAAGTGTAACTGTAAACTGACGTTGCCAGCTTTTTAGAAAAAGTGAATCCCTGAACTGAAGTGAAGTAAAACTTGGGATTTTATTGATCCTTCCCAGGCAGAATGAACCACTTTGACCCGGTCCTGCGGTTGTCACTATCGGGAGATCACTGACTATTAGCTGTCAAGTTTCCTTTGGGAAAACTAACGATAATGTTTTAGTTGACCGCGTACAGTGCACGAAGATTTTTCAGCGTAAGCACACGGAACTTTATTGATTGTGTCTTATTTAAATTCGAATGTTTATCTTCCTCGACGTGTTCGTAAACATAAGCCTTTCTTGGATCACTGTGATCGTACTTGTTTCACTTATTGCATTGTGAGCTCGGGAAAGCTCAGTGATTAAGGACGAGTCTACTGCTCTGGGCTCTTTCCTGGGGTTGAATAACTTGCTTCATCTCAATCCTCATGCTTCTGGTGGCATTGTAGCTAGGCACGGAAAAGGTGTTAAAGTAGGGTGATTTATTCTTTTGATTTTACTCACTGCATTGTTGAGATTTGGTGCGAAGATGGAGTACCGAGATAGTTCGATGCCACATCCATTCGCACAAGACTTTGCTCTGTCCTTTTGGTTGCTGCAAGGTTTAGCGCCTTACTGTGTTAGTTGAAAGTAGACATCTACACAGGAAGTTCCACGGATTTGGCTTATCTTGTGGTTTGCGGCAAACTGTCGTGATTGCAAATGCGGAAATGTCCATGGTTGCTTTCTATGTAGGGCACCGAAGCATCAGTGTTAAACACTGATGGAGCGAGATAGCTCAGTGGTTGGACCGAAAATTTACTGACCGTAAGGTCCGGGGTTCGAACCCGACCTCTGCCTCTCGACTTCCTCTGTCTAGGCTCGCGCACCCCGACAGCATCCCAGCCCTCGTTCTTCTTTTGGGTGGCATGGCAATTAGGCACCGGAAAAGTGTTATGGCTGAACAATGTTTTGATTTTCCTGATGTCATGCTGTTGAGTATGATATGAGGAAACTGTACCTTCACTCTGTTACATAACCACGTGGTTCTGTGACTGTGGAAAGGCAACACAATGCATTATGCCTACTTTTTCCTGTTTGTTGCTCCCGCGACGTTGTCCGTTTCTAGGTCAATTGTTTTTCCACAGATCCTTCTTCAGAACCACACCCAACCAAACTGGCATTGGGGGTCCCTGGAGGTTTTGATCTGCCTCAAGACCGTTATAGCGTTACGGAACAGTGGGCTCTGGTATTGCTGCCTCAGGGAGAACGAGTGGAAATACCATGTCCGTCGGAGGGTAGTCCTTTGGCTGATATCTCTCACCTCGTACCGCTGGGAATGCCGGAACGGCTTGCCAAAGCTGTTTCTATCGTCCAACATGCCGAATCTGCACTGCTGCTGGAAGAACGTGCCAGGAATGTTGAGGCGTGGGAAGATGAAAACATTCGACCAATATCCTCCCACTCGTTGGAGTTGAAGCAATTGGACAATGGTGTTCGGATCGCCCCATCGTACGTAGGTCATTACTCGTGATAGTTTGAAATCAGGGTGCCACTGAGTGCCTCATGAGTCTTTTTGGCCACCCTAAGTGATTTGACTTGGACCAGCGCAAGGGGTCTAAGTTTCAAACCCATGGTCGAGCTAGCTGGTTACCGGTTGTTTGAAATTTTTACTCAAAAACCGGTTTGTCCTCCATAGCTGTCAACCGGAGTTTTCAAAGCATCCCCACTTGTGAAGCGGTAGGTTTTGAATTCAACCCTAATTTAATGGTCGTATTCAGTCCTTGCCCCTGTTATGACACATTTCGAAGGAATCTCTTCACAATGACTACCGTCTCATGTTCCCAGTCGTTTTCAAGACCCAGCTGCGCTCCATTGTTAATCAAACCATCATCGTCAGCTTCTCATATGAAGTGTCCAAGACACAGCAAACGGACACGATCCGTCTCCACATTCCCTCGTGTTTTGCACAGCTGGTTTTTGAGGATCGGCGGATTAGCCGGAGTTTTCGATTAGTTTCGGGACGCTTAAACACTCCAAAATCTCATCTTTCCAGACCAGTAAGGTGTCAGACGTAACTGGTTGGCAGTGATGTGAATATAGCCTAACCTATTTATGTCTTCTGTTGGCATTCACATGCTCCAGCTGACCGGTCTGTGCAGCATCCGAAAACCATCCAGCTACTTTACACCCCAGTAACCGTCCGGTTACCCCTTTTCGATTAGTGTTATTTAGGTGCCGGAGATTTTGTCCGATTCGTTCGTACTTGTTGGTAGTCCAGGTTTTATCCTGTATGTGGAGCCAATCTATTGCTGAAAATCCGAGAGGCCCTGTACAGCTGTTTCACCATTTATTGGGAGGCGTCATCAGTGCGCATCTCACAAAACTCCAGGGACTTTCGAACATCAGGCTAGTAGTTTGGACACTTGACCGTTGGACTACGAGCG